CCACATTTGGATATAGATATTTATCAAATATACATCTGTAGTTTTGCTCTACTATATTTTTGAATTCTATGTCGCGTTCCATCTTTGGGGCCAATTCAGCCAACTTTTCTTGAATAATGGGATCTATTTTCTTTAAGTTCTTGTATTTCTCATGTACAATCTTGAGAAAACCAGCCTTCTTCACAGGGCCATTATTTGACTTACAATTTGGACATACCGTCTTCTTTCTCGCTACTTCTAATATTTTCTTACGTAATGCTTTGCGCATTAAATATCCTGATTTCGGATTTTGTATACTGCGCGAAAAAAATTTTCTTTCTTCGTGCGTTAGCAAAACATGAGCACAACTCTGTAAAAATTATGCGTCTCTAAAATATTAATACATCAATATAGGATATAATTACTGAAGTTTGATAAAGTTATATGTTACCTTGCAAATTGTCTGTAAAATCTGAATGATAGATTTGAAATAACCAACGTGAAAGACTGGTAATTCTAAATTAAGATACCCGAAATGTCCTACGCAGTCATTCAACTTTTTATTACACGTTTCGCATTCGACTCCTGTAGAACTCACTCCCTATGTACAAAAAACATCAATTCTAAACTCTGTTCAAATAGGGACAAGGAATATACATAGTAAATTCGGTTATTCACACTACACTGGATTAGTGTACATTAAAAGCTGATTTATATAAAATATTTAAATGCAGTAATATAATATAATCAATTTTGAAATAACATAATATAATACATAATGTACATTCTGTTAAATAACAATATCATTATTGGGTATTTAAAATATTTATATGTTATATTTAATCTTGTTAATTTCATACAGGGTGTATAAAAAGTATCAGAAGCTCTGAATATCTCGAAAAATATGTCATAAAAAAAAAGTTTCAAACAAAAGTTATAGGTCAAAAAAGATTTATTTATAACTTATCAATTTGATCTTATCAATTTGATCTTGGATGGCATTATCAAAGTCAAGTCAAGATCACATCACTTTTTTAAAATAAAAACCCTCATTTTTCATTGCATATTCTTGTAGTCGATTATCTCGAAAGCTTTTCAACACACTACTACAAAATAGTTTTTTAATTATAAGATTTAAAAGTTAAATACCACTGGCATTATCTAAGGTATCCAACTGATGTTGATTAAAATTAGAAATCCTATAATCAGAGTCTGGCCACAAGAAAAGATTCCACACTTTTCTTCAAAATTGTGCAAGAGAGAGACATATGTCCCTTTTTTTGAGATATTCAGGAAATCTGATACTTTTTATACACCTGTATATGAATAAGATTTTAATATGTATTAATCTAATAATAAAAGTGAATTAAATTTATTAATGGTCTCCAAATACCATGCGCCTGTCCAGTGCTCCTTGCAAAGCAGGGGTATGCTTTGTATCTTCATTGTACAGGTTTTTGGAGATCATCTCCACACTGGCCTGCATATTTATGTCAAGCATGCTGTTTACGCCAAAGGATATATGGGAGCTAGATAAAAAAAATTAAATAAAATGCCTATGCATTTTGCTTACTGAAACTTAATTTTCCTATTGAAGAAGATTCAAATCCAGAAACAGAATGTTTACATTTAATTTAAACTTCATTTGATAAATACATCCCAATTATTTACAAATTGTATTGTGTTAAGAAAATATAATTTAAGTCTAATTTCTATTCTAGTTCTTTACTTTCTGTTTCTTGCTTTTTGTTTTGCTTTTGGTTATTCTACAATGTGCTTTTTGTTTTCTATTTCTTGTCTTTTTGCTTCTTATCAAGTTTTTTTATGTCGCCCGAGATAAAAGTTAACGAACTTTGGAAGAAATAGAAAATGTAAGAAGAACGCAAGAAATACAATTGTCGAAACAATTGCAAAGGGGGAAAAAGCAAAAAGTAAAAAATAAGAAATAAAACAATAGAATGGGCTTTTTTGTTTCTTTTGTTTTCTGTCATCCAAGATAAAACTTTAATTTCAGAAAAGGCAAGAAAAATGATTGTCAATAAAATGATTGCAAAGAGAAAAAAAGGCAAAAGAAATAAAAAGCAAAAGCACATTATAGAATTAAAAGTACATATCCACGAAAGGAACATTTTGTTGTCTATTGTTGTTAGAAACAAGCAATTAGTAAAAACAATTTTGTCTCCACAGAATAATCTCAGTTTGAAAAATGTTTTAATTTTGTTTCAGTTATCGAGGCAACAATTTGTCCAGAACTTAAATCTAATCTACAATGTATTTTTTATTTCCTGTTTCTTCATTTTACTACTTTTTAATTCTTGCCATTTTCAATTATCTAGCTTTTTTTTTATTTTCTGTCATAAAAGTTGGCAGAGACAAGAAATATGAGATGAAAAAATGAGATGAAAAGTAAGAAACAAAAAGCAAAGAACACAAAGAGTACTTTCCATTTGATGACACAAGTTCTATCCTTCTTGAGTGACATTCAGAGTGACAAAGATAGAACGACACTTGTGTTGACTTGTGTCATCAAATGGAAAACACCCAATGTATATTGTTATACAGGCTTTCTGGAAAGAAGCAACACAAATATTGCTTTTTTATGCTTTAAAAGATACAGCACATTTGCATATCAATATCTGGGGAGACACACATTTTACTTGTATTACAATTTATATTATGCTTATATGTAAATAATATTGCATAGAAATTATTAGCAATATTATTTCCCTGAGAAAACTAAAGAATAATATTTTAAATTCGTAAGAACAAATAAATCTTATACATACACTTCGCTGGCAACATTTGTCTCCCTGAACTGTTCTTTCACCATGCTTGGTCTTGATTTAAATACAACTGCAAATAATCGAATTATTTCTTAATTAATTTTTCTTGGTAAATATTAAGAAGACCCCGGTCCACTCGAATTTTAAAAATATACTCAATCGATGCGTTTTTTCTTATGAAAATGAAGAATCTACAAGAAAAAAGTGTCGCTCTGCCCCGCGAACCGAGATACTTTAAATTAAAGTTGACGACTATGCAGGTTAGGAAATTTGTCACGGTCACTGCTTTAAAATAAATTATCGGAGTTCTAATCCATGTGGAGTAAGATGTGTAGACAGTAACACTTGGTTACGTACGCCGCCCTGAACAAAAAAAAAAACATATTCTACTCGCTTGGAACCTAACCACCTAGAAGTTACAGTTGAGACAGTGTCCGCTTTGAATATTTGTGTCTCTCAACAACGACGCGATGCGATCATGCACAGTAATCATGTCATCTATGTTTAACATTGGCAACAACAAGGATGTAATGATCCATTGTCATTTGTGTCGCTTTTTGGAAGACACACTTCCTAAACCATGAAGACATGGGATGTGAAAACAGTTTTTTTAGAGGCAGTAAAAATCCACTTGGAAATCTCACATTCCGAATTCCAGATTTCCTAACCTACAGAATCGTCAACTTTAACTTAAAATATCTCGCTTCGCGAGGCAGAGCGATATTTTTTTCTTGTAGATTTTTCATTTTCATAAAAAAACGTATCGATTGAGATTGATTATATTTTTATCAAAATTTAAGTGGACCAGAGTTTTCTTAACATTTACCTTGTTCTTTTTTGCGTCTATTCCTCTCCCTCTCGATCAAAATTCACGATATTCGACAATGAGCACCTCCATTCAAATTCATTTCATTCCATTCTCGTTCCAAAAGAACTGTAAAGACTTAAACACAATAGGCATAGGCAACAGGGAATAACGAGCCATCCAATCAGAGCTCTGAAATACAATATCGAACTTAGAGCTCTTAATTGGACGGCTCGATATTCCCTGTTGCCTGTGCCTATTGTGTTTAAGCCTTAAATAATCAACATGATGTAAGCCATAGAACTTATAAATAATGGAAGGGAAATATGGACGTCGAGTCCTATATATATGAGAGAAGCGACATCAGCATCACGATTTCTGGTTGGTGATACCCTTACTTAATTAAAAAAGCCATACTGTGCCCACAGTGGAGAACTACCATATGTTTCCTTTCTACAGTATCAATCATGAAACTTTTTTCTTAGGATGAAAAGTGAAAAGTGAAAAGTTTCTCCATTAACTTCAATGGTTAAAATTTTTCACTTTTCACTTTCCATCTTAGGGATAAAAAATACCTATATTCATATATTCATCTTCATATACCTATATTCATAATCCTTCCTTATTTTAAGGATGAAGGAAGCCTCCATGAAGGATTCCTCGATTCCAAGACTTTCTTGTTTTATAAACAGATCTCAAGTTCGCCTTCCCGAAGGAAGGAATATTTTAGGGATTTTAATAACCTATTGGGGATAGCGTGTCATAATATATAGTATATGCATACCTAATATCGTGAATTACGAAAAATAAAGGTTATAGAGGCATTGTTGATTAAATATTATAAGATCATGATTAGCATTTTGCAACATAATGGAAAAATAAAATTAATAGCGAATTTGACGCACTCATTGCGCATTAAAACCGTTGTATACAAATTTAACATAAATATATGTTAAATAAACATAGAATTAAAAATCGATTAAATTGTGAAATATTCAATACATTTTATTGTACTATTAGATAAAATATGTATTTTATAATTCAAAATATTTGCATTTTATTTTTATATTCAAATTAGATTAGTGTACAACGGCTTTAATATGCATCAGTGTTTCCAATCGAATTCGCCATAATGCTTATTATACGAAGAAGGAAAAAAGAGAAGAGTTTATAGAGTTTTTAGAAGAGTTTATTTCCGAAAAAACAATCAAAAATAATTATCGATGCGTCAGATTTAAATTGTGAAGTGACATTCATCCCCATTATTACCTCTAATTCGTAGCAGGAATTGCCTGGAACTCGATTTTAGAGATCTACATTTCGTTTTTAGTTATTTTTATATTCATGACTGTTAAAATCTGATACAATCAGATGTTATGCCAGCGATCATGACAATTTAGTCGTTGAAACAATCGATCATAAAAAATTCTTCAATTACTTCAGAAATTAGAAATATTTGAAGAACTGCTGGCATTAGTTGGACTATATATATATAAAACAAGAATATATCGTAAGAATATATCGTATGAAAAATAAGAATTATTATTAATTTTCTTCTTCGAATTATTATTAATTTTCTTCTTCTGTCAAATTCTCAACTATCAATAGCCGGATCGACATAGCCTGCAATCGACATGACATTCCATTAATTCTGTATCGTTCCCGCCATGATTCTAATGGCTCCGATATAGTAAAGAAACATCTTACGAAACGGAAGATATCTTGTATGTCTATATGTGTCATCGTCTATATTTTGGATTCGTCTGAATAGAAAACGGTAGATTGGCATAATTCTTTTCGGAAAACATTTTCAAAGATGAATTGAATATTTTGTTGCGGGATGACTTTTAGGTTTTTAAAAATCTGGGAGGACAGTTTGGCATAAATGATGTTGGTGACAGTAAAGTGAGTTCTGAAACGCCGAAAGAGCGGGCGTAATAAATATCTGGCTTTTATGAGACCACAAAAAAGTAGAAGCCGGAAAATAATTATGAAGATATGAGGACTTTCTATATATATTACTAGGCTGCTAACTTATTTGAAAAAGTGATCCCCAATTTTGATGTAACATTATACGCATACGTCGAGAACCGCTCCGCATAATCGCGTGACGTATATCTGTATATGCGCACACATCAGCATACTATTATCTTTTGACAGAACCTATTTAATAGTATTAAAACCACCAGATACTTATTTTCATAATCTAGCTATAATAAATTATTTTAATTTTTTATAAGAAATTAAATAAGATCGCATCTTTTATACACGTTTATTGATATTCAATTGTCTTTCCAATATCTTTACGTTTTACTTGAATTTTTTCTCTTCCAAGAGAAACAAAATTTTTCGCTATGAGATCACATTACTTTCATAAGATTATATTAGCATGTGAACAGTTGATGCAAAACACAGCCATACTGCATTCTTTTGGATATATTCGTGACACATACGCAGAACTACAATTTCGGAGTTCATTTCACATAAGTTGTCCTAAGGAGTTAGCAATTTAGCAGTATATAGAAGTCTGTGATTCGCATGTAGGTACTCACCGGGATCGGGTGCGTTTTGGTATTGAGTTTCGTTCTCATCGAGTGTCACGTAGGTATTTGACTCAGAATTGTTATTGCTGGCTCTCGTGGTCGGCCTAAGAGGGATTTTTCCTTTTATATAAACCTTTTACATATGCGTCGATCCATTTGGGTTCTCCTTTTTTCGCGCGGTCTTCGTGCATATGATCGGAACCGAGTCCCCGGATCAGGAGGGCGTGAGGGGGAATGCATTCGGTCAACGTCTTTCCTCTGTCCTCTCCTCCTCCCTCAGTTCCTCGGTGTCATTCAATTTTGTGAATGGACATGTTTTACTGACAAATTTAGATTCTCACATTATCGGCGCTGCACTTTTCAATTTAATGGCGGAAACTTCGTCTGAACGCGCGGCTAACTACGTGGCCTAAGTAAAGATAGCAGCACATCCTTTCCCATGGAAACGGATCAAAAATTTACTCAAATTTCTTGGAGGAAGAAAGGCATGCAGCAAAAAAACTCGCATAAATCTAAAGTGAAGGTTGTGAAGACGTCCACTCCTAGCGATGCTGTTGTGTCCTCCCATTTTTGATAACGTTGATGGATCCGTCATCTCAGCCCAAACAGATTGTACCATGCAAATTTAATTATCTTTATTCCTGCACGGATAAATCGCCTTATTACGTGATTTATTCGAATAAATCTTCCGTCATACATTTCTCTGTTTTATCCAAAATAGTATCCGAAATTGCTAACGCGGATATTTTATCCAAACGACTAGGTAATGGCAAGGGGTAGAGTCGGAGGAAGCCGCTAACCGCTTAGTTACTAACTCCGCTTTTGAAAAATACAAGACCTTCATTTCATCATATCGTTCTCAGAACGAATATTGTTAAGGATATAGACTAATTACTTTCCTTAGAATGCATCAAGGTTCGATCGCCAGTTAAAATTTTAGAGGTTCAGAGACTGAACTGACACATGACTATAAGTCACGAAACGACTTATATCCTTCAAGAACTCTTTGTATTAAGTTCGCAAGACATCGTTGCCTAGAGACATCATTTTATTCAACTAAATACACCGTTGAACTGTATGTGCCTAAGGTCAGGATATGTTTCGTGTGCTACAGAGTGAAACATATAGGAAAGGACTACAAAAGTTTAAAATCGAGATGCCTTTACTATAATCAGGAAAATGACAAGTCTGTTGAGTATGAGCACAGATTATTACCTACAAAATGCATCAATTGCGGTGAACAACTGACAACTTCATTTGACTGCCCAGTCATTCGAAGCACAAGGATGTCACAACCTTGCTGTATGAGAACATACTTCATGTCGAGGCGAAAAGAATCATTAAGGAAAATTACAAGGATTCATAGAGAGGAATTGAGTTGCCGGCAACTCAATTCCTCTCTATGAATCCTTGTAATTTTCCTTACATCTCTAATAATTTTCAGCACCCGTCCTACAAAGATAATTATTTTCAATAGATTTTCTAACCTGAATTCTGAAGATCCTGGGGATATTAGGATAACATACTATGCCAAATTATACGGAAGCAGCAAATGCATTTTCGTCGAGGCGTTCCCTCCGTAAACTGTTCCTCCGAGGACTGTTAATATGGAATCTCTTCCGGTAACGCTCGTTTGGAGACGTCACACAAGCTTCAAAAAAATAACACCTTCATTACGTAACAACATAACGAAATTCTCTTTGAATTCAATAGTCGCCCTTCGAAGGACAAAATTTTGTCCTTCTAATGAGAACTTTTAATAGCGTTTTTAAGCAGATATTAACACTCTTATCCAACTTCAAGGATCTGTTCAACAATCAGCAACTATCAGCACTCATTGATCCAATAATCGCAATATTATCAAGGTTTGCTAATTTTATCAGAAATTCTAATCTCAATCTTGATTTCCTCATTAACTTATTCGCCGGCACTGGACCTAACAACTCTTTTAACTTGGATCACTGGAACTTCAGAAATTAAATTCAGTAATAACAATAGAATTCCTCGCTCATTCAGCATCCTTCAATGGAATTGTTGCGGGGAGAAGTAAACTATAGAAGTAAACTATAGAAGTAAACTGCAGTCAATCTGCAAGAATTGACATTATTTACATCCAAGAATCGCTCCTCTCTTCTCTATATTTTCTCTATGCGGAGAATTCTATGTCGTGAGAGCAGACGTAACTAATCCAGGTATGAGAGGAATCTGCACCATATCGTTTTCAATACTGTTAACCTACCAAATTGGAAGGATGATTCGGTCGAAATGCTGGTGATATCTTCAGACAACGAGAAATTCACAATTATCAACATTTATCGTTATCCGAATTGCAATACTCCTACTCAATTCTGTGAGGTTGGAGACTCAAAAGATAACTGCATTTTTGTTGGGGATTACAATCCCCATCACTCCCAATGGGGCTGCTCAAACACATCGCGCCGACAGACTGGTTCTAGCATCAAGAGCATAGAAAATCACTATGCTTGCATTCTTAATGATCAGCATTTTCACAGATTGCTTCTCCCACCTAATTCTGGCTTGTCAATTGTAGACTTGACTATAGCCACCG